CAAAATAAAAAAAAATATTGTACTTCCTCGTTGGTTTTGCTATCTATTACGAAATATTTATAGTGATAACAATGCTTTCTGAAGCATCTTATTAAAAAGTACATCCAATATTGAATTGATTACCTGGACTATTCTCTTCAAACGAGTGAAACTAAGCAAGATACTGATTATTGAAGGAAGTTCATCATACTTGCAGTAAATAATAATGTATGAAAAATTCTGAGGGGTAACATATTAATCAGCTTTCGTATTTAACGCGTTTTCGATGAATTCACGTGTGAAGAATCATTAAAAATGTACTGATTTAACGAAAAAAAGATCACTAGAATTTGAAAACACGTTTAAACGCGTTAATTTTGCGCACGTTTAACGCGTTTTTGTGATCAAAGTTGTAACATTTTTAATCGTTAAATCGTTAAATTTTTAACGAATTTTCACGTCACAAAGTTTCGTTAAATTAGCAAAAATTTTTACATGGGTGGTGGCGACGGTGTGCGTAGATTTTTTGAATCTGCATTCGATCAATTATGGGTCGAAGGATATTTAGGAAAACTCACTAAAATGAGAATTCCATATAATTATGTCAATTGGATTAAAGCGTGGCTAAGCGGTCGCCAAGAAACTATAGAGATTCAAGATAAAAGATCGAGATAAATTACAATCAATAGAGATGATCCACAAGGTTCTAGCTTAACAGACGCCATGTCATTCTTCTTCACAGATGATTTAGCTGCCGTACTAGCTGAACAAATTGGAACCAGATTTACGGAACAATGTGTTGATCTCGAACGTCGACTACAAACGTTTTTTGAGCAACTTGAATTCTACTGTTTACTTGCGGTACAATCCATTAATTATTAGAAAACGCAAGTGATGTTTTCAGCACGTGTTGTGCTTTATCCGAATCCGATACGCAGTGTTCGTTGTGCAGATCATTCAATCGAGTGGATATCTGCATTCAAATATTTGGGTTATTGGCTTACGACAAAACACGGTTGAGGAAATGTGATCGGAAAGACCCGTCTGAAGGTTCGTCAGCGAACTGCAGTGATTAATACATTCAGAGTCAATGGCTCTTCATCAACATATTTGAGACGTATACTCTGTTCAGCCTTCGTTTTACCATACTTCACGTGGCTATTTAGTATTATTCTCTATTAACGGAAACACAACGTTCGAACCTGAATCATCTATATTTCACCTTGTTGAAATGTATTTATCTGGACCAACAATGGAATGACTTCATATTTACGTACATGTATGGTGAAAGATCACTAGATGATATACGTATGTTATAATTATTGGGAAAATTATGTAAAGGCTTTATCCAAATCGTTGGATCGATTCCTGCTATTGGAACAATCAGAACTAAACATGCATAGAACAAAATGGTAAAATGGGGTTCAGTGAATTAGAGATATGCGTAGATCCAAACGATTTACTCCACACATGGACGTACTAGATCAAACACTTGATTGGCTGACTAAACAAGGGACCTTCGACTCAGTAGTAGCGCACGATGCAGAGAAGTTTCTATGTTTTGCTCTTTTTTCAGAAAGCTTTAGTGATTGATTTAGTATTACAATGTTAGATAAGTCATGCTGACAAAAAAAAGGGAGAGAAAGAGTCTGAGGAGAGGAGAGAAGCATCTACATGATGGATGAGAGAAGAAGATTGCATAATATGGGAGAGGAAAAGGGAGAGAAGAGAAGAGGAGGAGAAAATGTATAATACTCTTGGCATTGCAGCAAGATATTCTTCAAAATATGTTATCATTGCATTATAACCATATAATAAAAAAGTGCACAAGTGGATATGAGTATATAAACATATTATTTATGTCGATTCCTAAGCTTATTCAACAATTCTAGCTAATATTCCCTCTTACGCACGTATTCTAATTAATATCATTGTTGTTATCATCACAATGTTAAATGTCTTATTCATGTCAGCTAATGCAATCTTCATGAATGGAAAAAGTTCCAAGGCGGATAGCGGTCGTCGATCTGCTGTAAAATTACCGAAGGATATCCAACCGATGGAACACGATGAAGAAGGCCAACAACTTAGCGAAAACAAAAATCAAGGATAAATAAATACAATAGTGAATCAAAACAACAAGATGAAGAACACTGAAAACAAGTAGAATTTATAGTGAATAACTACGCTAATCTAGCCACATAATAGAAGTGATAGAAAAGATAACAGAAATCGAAAAACATGTGTTTGAAGCACCACGTCCGCGTCGGTCATGGCAGGATTTTTTATTGGTTGTGCTTGGTACAATATTAATACTGTTTGTCGTCATAAAATTCGTGAAAAAATACGCCAAACATAGGTTAACGAAGGCAATGCAAGAAATAGAAAATGAAAAGCAAATTCAAGTTTCTTATATCAGCGAGCAAAACAAAAGTTCTGAACAAGTGAATACATTATCAATGGAGACAACAATATATCAAATGCAACAACAGCTTTACGAGGAAAATTAACAATTCAACATAATGATGCACAGAATGGATGATTGCTCACCGAAGCTCAATGACCCTTGTAGGTGATTGAATCCGGTGCACGGAAGAAATACTTTCAGATAGATACAACAATATGTCCACCTACTGTCACTGTAATACCAAATCGTCTAGCTTATTCTCGACTTAATTGATTGCATCGTGCGCCCTACTTCATGCCTCTTAATAATATTATGATATTCATATTATATCGACTTCATCGAGCGTAACGCGATGACGTTTTGGCTACAGTATTTTTAATCTTTCTCAGCACTTGGAGTAATTAACACGCTAATTGTTTCGTCAATTGGTACGTTTCTATGCTCTCCTTCCGTCCCCGAAAATATGAGTTCATTTGGCTTAGCCATTTGAAAAGTATAGCAAAAATATATAACGTAACGCGATGACGAAAATCAAGATTCAGAACACCCTTATTTGCTTTCAAGATCTTCTAAGTAGTTACTAAATTTAACAGCATCGCTTCTTGCTAGAAGAAACAAATCGTTTTTAGTCGCTGTATGCTAGAATATATGAATAAAAAAAACGTGATTTTCGAAGTTGGTGGCGTCACAAAAGATGGCGCGTTACACTGGGAAGTCAATATATACATATATATAATGTCCTTCGCTCTTACTCGCGCATATCTTTGCGACTACTGAGATTCACATCATTTCGTCGAAACTTGCTTGCATCTCGCAATAGGGCTCATTGCTCATTGTTGGTTTCATATAATTATAACTTCGATTTGGTTAGGGTTGCTCCTTTTTTTTCTTTTTTCTCTTCTCTACTATTTCTCCTTTCTGTTCCTTTCTTACTTTTCTTTTGCTTCCTTTTGCTCTGTAGCTCTCTTCACTCTCTTTTTCAGTTTTCATTTATTTTCTTTCATTTTTGCCATTTTTGTTTGACTTTTATCATAGTACAATAAGATTTTTGAGCTTCATTCGCCCTTCAGGAGTGCCATGGTCATATGATTACTGGCTTAATAATAAAAAATCTTCGTCAGACAATCGATGAAGTCAATATTTACCTTCATATTCTTCATCACACGCCTTCTAGACGATTCATAAAGTCAATATTTACCTTTATATTATTCGTCATACGCCTTCTAGACGATTCATGAAGTGAATAATTCCCTTCATTTTCTTCAGCATACACCTTCTAGATGATTCATGAAATGAATAGTTCTCTTCATTTTCTTCATCATACGCCTTCTAGACGATTCATGGAGTGAATAATTCCCTTCAAATGCCTTTTAATAAACCCTATTGAACATTTAGAATGTCTATGCACACTTTTAAATATTCTTTCTAAGTAGGATGGTCGGGTATAGTGTTTCCATCAGCCCTTTCAGAAAGGGTTTGGAAGATTATTTGGACAGGTTTGTAATGTTGAATCTTATCAGCCTTTCATAGACAGTAGAAAAGGGTTCTTTATATGTTGCACTTTCGTAAGCCCTTTAATAATTTATTATTCTATGCTTTTTTTTTCAGAGTACTGTTTGTTGTAGAGGCTTATCCACAGTTGTGTTTCAGCAAAATATCTTTCGAATAATTGATAGGCAACATCTTGGAAATATTTTATATCGATGATCATTTAACCGTCGAGAAAACTTTGGAAAAGACTAAGCATTATAAATACGGCTTGACTTTCGTCATACTGAACAATTTTCGCTACGGCGTAGCAAAAAATTATCTCAAATTATTCATTGATTCGAGACAGAAATATCTTTCAGTGTGCTGTTTATCAAGCCACCTAAAGCAATAGCCATCACTGTTACACTCAAACGCAATTACTTACTGTTCGATTCACGCAAAAGAGCCTACACAAATAGCGCGTTTGTGATTGAAGCGTCAACTACAAAAAATTTAGAACGATAAACTAAACGAATTCGATTCATAAGAT